ATCGTATACTCTCTGAATAACTTTTTTTTTTTTTTTGTACAAATAGGCCTAATTATTAGACCACTAAAAAGTACATTTTACGTATTATAAATATTTGTGGTATGAATGTTATCCAGATGTACTACATTCACGTTGAAATGTGACCTACCAGTGATTCACTGCCATTCACAAATCCTCTCCTGTGACATGATGGGATAGTATAGTGTACATTGGATGCACACTTTAGAATCTCGCCGGAAATAGTAGGTCATCCAGAGACTTGCTGCCTACTGTTTTATGAATACTGTGAATTCAGACATAGTACTCTGTTCATATAGGCTGCTGTGACAATTTAGTAGGGCAGTGTGTGATTTCAGATGCAACCAAAGTGCCAAATAATTTTTGTCTTCATTTTAAACAGTATTATTATATTGATAATTAATTTGAAACCTAACAAATTTCTTTTTTTTTTCTGGCTTGAAAAGTGCACTTATGCTGTCTTTCTTTACAATAAATGTCAAGGTTTGATTTATCTAATAAGACAACACTCATATATAAAGCAAGGCTTAAAGGGATAGATCATTGAAAAAATACAATTCTGTCATCAAGTCTCTTTCCAAACCTATATGGAATTTATTTCTTCTGCGGAACACAAAAAAAATGGTATTTTGACGAATGGTTACTGCTGACTTCCATGTTTGGATGAACAAAAACAAAACAAAACTATCCTACAGGTTTGGACTGACATGAGGGTGATTGTGTGATGACAGAATTTCCATTTTTGTGTGACCTATCTCTTTAAGTCAAAACAGAGTGATCACAGGTGTCATTGCTAATTGTATTAAACTACATTGTTAATACAGATGAAATATTAAAGGGGTCATGAACTGCTTTTTTTTTTTTTTTTTTGTACTGTTCTCTGAGCCACTTATAATGTTATCAATATTTTTATATAAAAAACATCAATTTATAAATTATAAGTAATAAGCTATTTTCTGTACTGTTTTTGACCCCCTCATCAGAACGATAGGCGTGGTGGATTTTAGACTTGGAAGTAAATGCCCACTGCTATGATTAGCTAATAGTTGTGTATGTTTGCCAGCCTACATCCGATCCTTCACAGATGGACAATGCAGTGATTTAGGTTAAAAACGCATAAATATTAATCAAACGATCTGTTTAACAGACAAAGCAATAGTGACCATAAAAAAAAACAGTTACTCACACTTGTGTTGCGACATTACTGTCGAATCCAATATAGTCAGCACAGCATCGTCTTTCAGTTTCAATGTTTCTGAAAATCCTGTGTCGAATTGTGCCTTGTTTGTAAAAGAATCTGCAGTAAAATGAAGTAAACAAAAGACAGAAGCTACGTCCCAAATGACACACTATACACTATGCACTTATGTACTTATGCACTCAATCATGTAGTGTATGAATTATATATGATTATTTTGTCATTCATAATCGGAGTCTGGTAGCCCATCCCCCTTCGCTACGTAATTAAAGCTGCGACAGTTGAGTGCATGAAGTGTCCAACATTCCACACTTCCTTTTTTCGGTTATTTAAGTGCATCATCCAGGTATTTAAAGTGCACTTTTTCTTTTTGGAATTTTCAGTGTGAACGCACTACTCGCACTATTTATATATACTACAGAAAGTCATAGAATAGTGCATAAGTACACGATTTGGGACGCACCTCGAGTTCTTACTGACGTGGTCTGGAACTGCGGAGGCAATGTTTAGCCACACTATTACGTCATAAAGTGGCACATTCCACAAGCTGTCGTTTTAGCAGACTGGCTTCAAAATAAGCTGTTTTTAGACTAACAAGAAAGTTTTGAGTTCTGAAATTTACAGGATGTTTTTATAGCACAATAACCTCTCGCATGTCAAAAGATCAAGGGAAATTTGGTTTCTCAGTTCATGACCCCTTTAATAAATTATGTAATGTGAATGGGAGTTTCCTTCTTTTGTCCTTGTAAGCTTCATGGATAAGATGCAAGTTATTTTTCGATTAATTTTATTCTGGAAATAATTACCACTTTTACAAAAATGATTATTTGATTTGAAAATATGATTCACATTTTTTACATTTTTTCAAACATCATTCAGTTTCAAGACACAGATGATCATATTCCAGGACTACAATGACTCTGATCATAAATATGACAGTGAAGATTCAGTTTGTCAGTTGAGATCACTACATCAGAACTGAAATATCATATCAGTGTATACAATATATGACCGCTAGCCAAAACTCAACCAGCCTCAACCCCCCCACCC